GTGTGTGTGTGTGTGTGTGTGTGTGTGTGTGTGTGTGTGTGTGTGTGAGAGAGACAGAGAGAGGAGTCTTCTTGGACAGCGAGACCGAGCTGTGGACCTTTGCAGGAATAATTTGGAGTCCGACAACATCGTCCACTGCAATAAGGGAAAAAGTCTGGCTCTCCGCCTGCGTGCAGTTCAGTGCTGGCGGAATTAAAAGTGAACTTTGCCAAAGCATGCATAATGTATGACGACAGCAAAAATTACAAGAAAACTGAAATAGAAAAGGGGAATGCTGCCACTATCAATTATACATGAAGTTTCTGCTAAACAAATACAACAAAAAAAAGTGTTCTCTCCAGCTCGAACTTGCACGCTTGCTTGCACACACACACACACACACACACACACACACACACACAGTACTTGTCAATGCGCTTTTCAATCTCCTGGGCCTGGGAGCCCCAAAGAGGGGAGCGGGGGCTCTGGGCTTCCGGGGAGGCTGGGGCGATTGGGGACAGGGGAGGTCCATCCATCAGCCACTGGTCCCTCAGAGACTTCCTCTGGAGGGAGGAAGAGGAAGGAAGAGAGAGTGTCAACTTCCCACAGCATTGTAGTTGTGGCGATATGATTATATTGGGTTATTTAAGCAAACTGTTATCGAAACAACAGTATAGTGTGAGATGACGTGAATTTGCCAATCATTTTTGCGATACAATGGTTGCTATCCCTTTAATATCTCTTTCTTCTTTACATGTGATTTTACATGAGGTTGTCACAATGCGATATGTTTTATCCAACCATCCAATATCACAGAATAGCCAACGTTATAATACATACCTGCAGATATCGGTCCAACAAGGTAATGCTGAGAGTAAACTAGATGAAAGACGCCTGTCGAGCTTGTTTACAGAGTGGTAGATGAAGCTACCGAACACAGTTTAACTGCTGTAGAACTGTGTCAGTACTGGTTGCTACTGGCAACAGAATGTTCAACTGAAAACTAACTGCTGGAAACAGAGAGAAGTCTGTCTGTCATCACGCCTGATTTGGTTTCTTAGTGCACTATATTTACCCTCGGCCATTTTACTGGAGCGTAAATCACAGGCGCCACTGCAGTGTCCTCATTAATGCCACCAAGAAAAGAGTAGTTCCCATTCTATGATAACACTACTGTGTTCCTTCAGTATGTATACTGAAGTATGTATACTGTGTTCCTTCAGTATGTATACACTAATCTGGTGTTGTGTGTATATATATATATATATATATATATACACACACACACACACACACACACACACACACACACACACACACACGTATATATACATACATATATACA